GGCGTAATAAGGGAAGGTTCAGCCTTCGGAGGTGGGGCCACAGGGCTGGAGGAGAGGAGACAGAGGCTGGGGAACCTGTGGGGCCCCCAGTGAATATTGTTTTCAGGGTCCCTATCTTCCAGTGAGCCCCATGTTACATCCCAGAGTAATGGTCACTGAAGTGGCTGCTTCTGACTGTTTATCCCCAGCTGCCCACAGACGAGGCCACCAAAGGCCCCTTATTATGGATTAAAGGACCCATGTAAGGGCTGGTGGTGACAGGAATCATCCCCAGGAGACTTTCGGGCGAGCTGTGTGGTTGCAGGAGTGTGGTATAGTGGAAAAAGGGTGGCCTGCGGTCAGAAGGACCTAGGTTTGAATGTGGCTCTGTCACCTACAAGGGAGCAGGAATAGGAGACCGCAATGGTGAGAGGGGCCCAAACTCGCTGGGTGCCTCCTAAATGCCGAGCACTGGCAGGCCCTCATAGCAGACAGAAGGACAGCTGATGGGGTCCCCTGCCCCAGGCTGGTGAGAGACGGAGAAGAAGGCTTAGGACTCTCAGTGGGGGTCCCCGAGGACATTCCTGAAACCCAGCTCTGGAGGACACTGCCCACCGTTGGAGCCTCAAGTCCTCTCGCCCTCCTGCAAGACCGCTTTGGTGCTTCCTGTCCTAGAACTGAGGCCTCTTGGTCCAGAAAGGTGAGGTGGCCTCTCCCAACCACCTGCAGGGTTCCCAGCAGAGGCTCGGGATTCTGTTGCGGGAGACCCAGTGCTCTCCTGGACATTAACCCAAAGGTCAGCCACTTCCCTTTGGGAGAGGTCTGAATGTGTAGCCACGATTCAGTGGCTAAATGCAAAGACAAGGAGAAAACAGTTGAGCTGCTGTCAGTGGCAGTGTTGTGGCCCAGACGTTCATAACTTTCTTCAGGATGTTTTGTGACCCGTTCCTGTCTCCTGTCTGTGCCCCCCCCTTGAGGGAGCCCCACTGCACGTATCTTACCTTTGGTGGGCCTCCCCAGCCTGGCCCTATGAAAGCCCCGATGAAAGCCCCATCTGTCTCCCTCCTTCAGATGATGTGATGTCCCCCAGGTACCTGCTCCCCTGGGCCCATGGGTGGCACTTGTTTGCTGGGACTAGAGGGTGAGCAGTCAGGTGTTCCTGACTGTCCACTGACATCCAGGGCTGGCTCCTCCACCCTGAGCACTAATCTAATGAGGAAATAGCGGAGTCCACATTTCCCAGGGGTTATAAATAGCCACAGCAGTTCAGGCAGCATCATTTGTCTGGAAAATGTCCCATGTCCCTCTCCACTCCCAACCCTCCCTTCTCTGTATTTAAATGACATCCCGAAATAGATTTGGTTTCTGAAGGCTGCCAGCCTCCTGGGAGAAAGCAGCATTGTTAGGGTGACAAGGGGCTGGGCACACCTTCCTGAGTGGGGACCAGGACATCACCTGCAGCAAGGACCAGGAAGATGGCAGGGGCAGGGATTCACAGCGAAACAAGAAAAGTGGCACCTTACCCAGGCCTGGCCTCAGAACGGCTGGAGCGTGTGACAGCAGCAAGTGCACCTGGCAGGCTGCAGAGGGGTGGGAGCTTAGTGTAGCAGGAGGACAGAGAGGATCTGAAGATCCTGTGGCCTGGGGTATCCAGGAAGGTTTTCTGGAATTGGCAGGGCTAGAACTGGGTCTTAGCATCAGGAGTTGCTTTTTCTTGCTATTTGGCAGCTGGAACAGAAGCGACAAGAAGGGAGGGAACAGAAAGACTGTATGGGAGGTGGCCTGCCAGCACCCAGGACAGCCTGCTCAGCCAGACCACACTCCAGGAGGCCTGATGTCTTTCTGGGCAAATAACGGTAACAGCAGCTGCTGTTGTTGCTGAGATGTGCAGGTGCCAGGTTAGGTATTTTGCACGTTATCTTGCAGCTTTAGCGGAGAGGGTGAGTCAGGGAGACTGGATTTCATACCCCAGGTCTCACTTCCTAGTCGTATGGCCCTGGGCAAGTTCCTCATACTCGTTAAGCTTCAATGTTCTCATCCGTAAAATGGGAACAGCTGTGAAGGCTTAAACCTCACAGGTTTGTTACAATAATTAACTGAGATGCTGTATGTAAAGAGCTTGTCCTAGTGTCAGACTTATAGGATGTGCTCAAAATATGCCAGTTGCTGTTACATCTTCCATAACAACCAGATGAGGTAGGTACGGACACCCCCATGAGGATTTAACAAGGTTAAATCCTTGCCCACATTCACACAATTGGATGGAAGACCCAGATCAGCCTGACTCCAGTCCCTGCACTGTCCCCACTCAGGCTGTGTCCAGATGCTGCAACAGTACTCAGGGAGGGACCACTGGCTCAGTCCTTAGCAGCAGCCAGGGGGTGCCAGGTCATGGGAGGCTTGGGCAGGGGAGAGGCTTTAGATAAATTCAGTCAGGTGCCAGGGCCATGGAATTGGCCTGAGTCTTACGCTGAGAGATCTGCCTTCAAAAGGATTGTTACTTCAGAATGTATCACCAAAAGGTAGCATCTGCCTCAGTCAGTTGACAAAGAACAGTTAAGATCTCTCTACCTGGTTTGGCCACTGCTGGCAGAGCTAGGGGTAGTCCCAGGACCTGTGTCTAAGACCCAGTGGTGGGGATGGGATGTAGGAACTGCAAGGGGCAGCCCGTGCTATAGGTCCTAGGAGGGTCTGGGACACAAAGATGTTTAGAGGGGAGGGAGGTTTCAGGAAAGTGAGGCCAAAGTTGGGGCTTCCTTTAGGACCCAGGATGAGCTGTGGCCTCAAGCCTTCAGAGATAGGGAGCCTGGGCAGAAGCCAGGCTGGTGACCACCTCAAGCTTACCTGTGTTTGAGGAGGTACTAGGGACAGTTGTCCTCCCCAAGGGGTGCTTGGTTCTCTCAACACCACTCTGTCCAGTTCCATCCCTCTTCTGGGCAGGAACTGACTGCTGAAGCTGGGCCTGGGCCACAGCTGGCCTGAATGCAGGGCCCAGAGTGAGCCCAGTGCAGACCCCAAATCTAGTTTTTCTCCTGAGGTGGCTGTTGGAGGAGCAGCGTGCAGACTATGGCACACATACCCCTGGTGGTGGGTGCGCAGAGCCTTTCCCAGGGCTATGTGGGCAGCTTACAGAGCCTCAACTACCACAGGTGTTATTTCCAAAGAGCGATCTGCCTGAAAGGCCCAAGGCTCACCATGGGGGCTTGGCCCCAGGCTCCCAGACGTCCTGGGTGGTGAACAGAGGAATGTTGGTGCAGGTGTCGAGAAAGTAAGAGACTCAAATAGCTGGTTAAAATCCTTTCCAAAGTCAGGTGCTATCCAGTTCTTTGCCTTCCACAAAGCTGATGGAGGGCCTTGTTGTCAGCTGAGAAATCATTTGAAAAATAATGTGGAAAACATTTAAAGAATCACGTAAAATTGCTATAATAAAATTCTTCTCGGCCCCGTCTATTATTTATGAGAGCATATGTTTATCATTTACATCCTTTAAAACAAAACCAAAAAAATTATGAACAGAATTGGTGCTAACCTCCGCTTCACTCTAGCAAAAAATAAGTAATATTCACATAGTACATCAACTAAAACAGACAAAATGTCCCCCACATCTCATTAAGAGATACAGTTCCACCAAAATTTTTGATAGTGTACTACTAATCATGGTAATTATCCATAATATGTTTTTTTTTTTTTTTTTTTGTCTTTTTGTCTTTTTTCGTGACCGGCAACGGATCGCAACCCTCAGTGTCGCGCCCGTACCGGACCGGGACCGGCAACAGGATCGCTACCCTCGGTGTTGCCCCCGCTCCTCGCTCAGCCAGTGAGCGGCCGGTCTGTATGTGGGATCTGAACCCTCGGCGGGAGCGCCGCCGCGCTTCCCAAGCGGTGCACTGTAGCAGTGCGCCACCGGGCCGGCCCCATAATATGTTTTGAATGTTCTGAGGAAATTTTTCATTTCAATTTATAGATATTTTTGTGAAAGCAAAATATAATGTGGTGATTAATAAAAGACTTGAAAATATAAGTTAGGACAAACTTCTTTAGCAGAAATGGAATAGAAACCTACATCTGAGGAGAAAAAGCAGGATTTCTGCAAGGGAAAGAAGAGCTTGTTGATATATTTTTAAAATGGACGATGGTGGGTATCAAATCACTATGATATTTAGGTTTCAATGAGTACATTTAAAAGAATAACAGTTTTATTCTAAGATGGCAATATTTAGATTATTTTGGAAATTATATTCTTTGCAGGTATTTAAACTTGTCAGGGAAATGTTCAGATGTTAACATAAAAATGTGCCAGGGAGTACATAGTTTCTATTTGGGGGGTGGGGGAGTGGCTGCCAGGTAAGGGGATGCAATCAGAATTATTTTGTGGGGCCTTATTTTGAAGGCCACCAAGTTAGAGAAATGGAGTCCTTAACAGTCCCTTGCGAGTGATGCTCCTGACTCCCCCCGCCCCCGCCCGGCATCTGCACCTCCATGGGGTTCCAGCCCAAGTCTAGGGACCTCCCCTATAGAGAGTGTTTGTTTATTTGGGAGTCAACTGCCTAACCCAACTTACCTCACTAAATCTTCACTACAAGCCAGTGAGGCAGGTCTGTTACTGGCTGCCATGTATAGTTGAAACAACGGAGGCTCGGCGAGGTTAAAATTGGCCCGGGGTCACATTCCTGAAGCGGCAGAGGCGGGATTCAAACTCAGGCAGCCTGACTCCTGAGAACGGATTCCTCACCTGCACGCTGTGCTGCCTCCTGTCCAACACGTCCACGTGCACGGACGGGGCGAGTGTCTTTCCTTTCGTGAACCTAAGTTTCTGGATCTGTGAGATGGGGTGGCAATACCTAACTCACAGGGCAGTGGTCAGGAGTAAATGAGGTGTGGTGGGCAAAAGTGCCTAACAGAATGTGCCCACCCCTTCATGGGGCGGGGGTCCTCCACTAACCAGGGCCACCCTGCAGGGTTGATTTGGAGATAAGCATCAGACCCCCCCCCCAATTAGTTCTGCCCTCCTGACCACATAGCTGTCTGGTGAGCAGTTACCGACCAGCAGCAGGGACAGCTCTGGCCTGTCTCTGGGCTGCCACCTCTCCCTCACATGCGTTCTCTCTCTCTTTTTCTCTGCAGTTGGACCCACAAACTGTAGAGACCAAGAACTGGCACACGGATGTGATTGAGATGAATGGGGTGAGCCTGGGGAGACAGGGAATGTCTGCGCAGCAGGTGGGCAGCCCTGCCTTCTGCTTTTCTCAGCGTCCTGTGCTGTCTCTACCTCTCCTAGTCCAGTCCCCCTGTCATCTGCCCACACCCTTCCCACGCCATCATGGGGGTGTTCAGGGAGCCCTGGATGTGGAGGTAGCCTCTGTTTGCAGACCTGGGGAGGGGGCCCCATGTTCTAGGGGGCGTTCCTCAGGCACTCATGCCCTGGGGCCCTTGTGCCTGCCTCACCCCCATCCCTCCCAACCAGATCAAGGTGGAATTCTCCATGAAGTTCACCAGCCGAGATATGAGCCTAAAGAGGACCCCGTCCAAAAAGCAGACCGGTGTCTTCGGTGTGAAGATCAGCGTGGTGACTAAGTAGGTGTTGCCTCCGGTGTCCAGTGCTGGCATCCACGCCTGGGTCCCCGCTGGCCCCTGCTCCCAGCCCTCTCTGCCCGCTCCCAGCACCTCATCAGTCACCCCAGGTTCAATAGTCACAGACGTCCAGTGTGCAGGCCAGAAGTGACTCACTGCGCTGTGTTCTCTGCTCACACAATGCTTTGGAAATAAGCCAGCATTTAAACATGGGAAGATTTCACAGCCGGGAGCCCATGTGTTGGCTCGACAGCAACAAGCTGGAATCCAAGGAGTGGCTGCCCCTTGGGAAAGGACATGTGTCCTTCAGCTCATCACCACCCCTCTGTCCCCTGTGTCCCCCAACCTGGCCCACCTCCCTCATTCAGGTTACCTGCTGGGCCCCCCACAGGCATTTGAAGCTGAGGGAACAGTCTTTCCTGAGTCTTTGGGCTTATCTCCCAGGTCTTTCTCCTGCATGTGTCCCTGCTGTCCCTTGGGTGGGCTGGGGTGGCCAGACTCTTTCTCAGCCCTTTCCCTGCCCCCACACCTGATCCTAGAGGTGAGAGCTCTCCACGGCCTAGGCGTGCGGGGGTGAGGTGGCCACAGTGGGACCGCCATCGGAGGCCTCCTTCCACCTGACCCTCCCCTTACCCCCTTGTCCCCAGGCGGGAGCGCTCCAAGGTACCCTACATCGTCCGGCAGTGTGTGGAAGAGGTGGAAAAAAGGGGCATTGAGGAGGTTGGCATCTACCGGATATCAGGGGTGGCCACGGACATCCAGGCGCTGAAGGCTGTCTTTGATGCCAGTGAGTCTGGGAGGCCCAGCCTGGGCAGGAGGGGTGTCTGGGTGGGCTCCTGGGGCAGGAGAGAGTTAGTGGATCCAGGAGGCCTTCTCCCTGGAGAGGCCTGGGCTCATCAATGGCAGAAGAGCCTTAGTCTGTGACCTGCAGTCCACCATGTCACGGAGTGGACCATTCTGAGTCCCCATGGCTAGCGCCTTTTCTGCATTTTTTCATGCATCCCCCCCACCCAAGCCCTTATCTACTGCTACAGATAAGACTGAAGAAGCTCAGAGAGGACAAGTCACTTGTCCGGGATTACCCAGCTTATAGGTTTTGAACCTGGACTTAAACTCAGATCCTTCTGACTCCAGAGTTTGTGTTCCTGGCTTTCTTGCTACCTCCTGGGTGTTTAATGGGCTGCTGGGACATTAAAGAGCTTTGAACCTAGGCTTGCTGGCTCTTGCCTCCCTCTGCTTTCTCCAGAGCCTCGGGTGCCCTTTGGAGCACATCTTCCCCTGTATAAACTCCTTAGTGGTAGGGCCTGATCTTTCTGGTTCCTTCTTACCCCATCCTGCTGGTTCAGGCTGCAGCAGCAGCAGCATACCCAACAGACAAGAAACCTGAATTGGCCAGGCTGTGATGATCTCACATGGAGCCGAGAGGGGCCCGGTGGGGGAGCTTGGGGCAGAAGACAGAACAAGGGTCTGGGATCGTGCTGGCACATGGCTCCTCTGTGCGACCAAAGCCTTAGCTTTGTTGGGACTTTTTTTTTTTTTTTTTTTTTTTGGTGGCTGGCCAGTACAGGGATCCAAACCCTAGACCCTAATGTTATCAGCACTTTGCTCTAACCAAATGAGCTAACCAGCCAGCCCCAGGACATGATTTTAGGTGTGAAAAATGTGCAGTGCCTTCCAGAGAGGGGCTGGAAGGAGGGCACGTGCCACATGGAGTGTACGTGGCTCTGGAGCTCTGGGTAACAGGTCATGTGCCCTCCTGTTCCCTGGGAAGCAACAGCAGACAGACCCCAGCCTGTCTGTCCCTTATCTCCTTACCCCCAACTGACAGAGCTGAGTCACAGACACCAGTGGGCACTGCCTACATCTTGCCTCTCTCAGGGAAACCAGAACCAGAAACATTGTGGGTGGGGCTCTGTCTCAGAACGGACATGGGGATGGAACAGGGCTGCCCACCCAGCTGAGGGCTGCCGGGAACAGAGGGATGACTCAGGCCAGCAGCCCCTGACCTCGCCTCCTCCACTACAGATAACAAGGACATCCTTCTGATGCTGAGTGACATGGACATCAATGCCATTGCTGGTACCCTCAAGCTGTACTTCCGGGAACTGCCTGAGCCCCTCCTCACAGACCGACTTTACCCAGCCTTCATGGAGGGCATCGGTGAGGCTCCTGGGGGTCCCGAGGGCTGGGCTGGGCTGAGCCAGACCACCCTGGCCAGCAAAGTAAGAGCAAGAGAAGACACCTGTGGCTTCCTTGCAGCCTGATCTTCCCAGTGCACCGGGAAGGCGAGGTGTGGCCTGCTGGACCCTCCCACCTGCCTCTCTTCCCTCCTTTCCCCATGGGCAGCCCTCTGTGCTTCCTACTTGGACACTGACCTCCTTGCTTGTCAGAAGCTGGCATCCCAGAGCCAAGGAGGAGGCAGGTTCAAGCCAGGGCACTGTGGAGATGGCTGTGCTGAGCATTCTAGAACAACCACCCTCCTATCTCCACACCTGTACCAATGGCCCTGGCCCACAGGCCTCCTACCTGCACCCACCTGGGCACAGCCCTCCTGCCTACTCTCCTTCTAGGGCTTCGGCCCCGCTGGGAAATAAGAAGCCCACAGAAGGCTGCTCGCCCCCTTGCACCAGTGTCAGAGGTGGTTGCAAGTGAGCAGATGTCACGTCACTGGCAGCACATGTCACCACTGGCTTCAACTTAGCCATACAGACCGGGGGTGGGAAATGGCACCAGCAGCAAAGGCCATGCAGTGAGGGGAAGGTAGGGGCTGCTTCCCACCAGCCTGCCTCTGGCTGAGTTAACAGTAGTGCTGTAGCCTCCCAGAGGAACCAGCTGCCAACAGCCCACCCAAACACCAGGCCCTTGCCTGCAGGATCTGCTCCCCTGAACACCTGGCAGCCTGGGCTCTCCCTCAGGGTCCCAGAGCCCCATGATCAGGGAGCTCTGTCTAGGGATTCCTGCCCCAGAAGCCGAGCCCTGCCCTAGCCCATCTCTCCCCACAGCCCTGTCAGACCCTGCTGCCAAGGAAAACTGCATGATGCACCTCCTCCGCTCCCTGCCCGACCCCAACCTCATCACCTTCCTCTTCCTGCTGGAACACTTGAAAAGGTAACGGGGAGGGGCCCAGGGTGGGACAGGGAAGCCCAGGCTGCCCAAGTAGGGAGCATGTACTGCTGTGGCACCAGCCTCAGCCCCTCCTCACGGGCGCTGGCCACTGTTGGGCCATCCACAGCAGGGCGAGAGTTGGCTTTTCAACTTCTTGCACTTGCATTCTTCTGTTCTGAGCAATACTTGGGTCCTAATAGCAACCTCAGATATTGGCCATGAAATGCCTAGGATGGCAGGGCTAGAGCCAAGGACTGAAGATGGACTTTACAATCAGTAGGTCCCAACCTATCAGTGGTTCATTCAATCAATTTAGCATCTTTTAAATGAAATAGAATAGACAGCATCAGGGTACACTGCAAGCAGTATGCTTAAGTGTCAGTTTGTTCAGTTACATATAGACGTGTTCTGGGTTACAACATAAAAAGTGTGTTCATAATTGTGTGTTAGTCAAAAAAAGCTTGGGGGCCGGCCCGGTGGTGCACTGCTACAGTGCGCCGCTTGGGAGTGCGGCGGTGCTCCCGCCGAGGGTTCGGATCCCACATACAAACCGGTTCCCGCTCACTGGCTGAGCGAGGTGTGGGCGCAACACCGAGGGTTGCGATCCCGTTGCCGGTCCCGGTCCGGTACGGGCGCGACACTGAGGGTTGCGATCCGTTGCTGGTCACGAAAAAAGACAAAAAGGAAAAAAAAAAAAAAAAAGCTTGGAACCCACGGGTCTTGGCCCACACTTCATTTAACAGATAGAGAAATTGAGTCCCCAAGCCCAGCAGGGACTTGCATGGGTTAGCAGCAGATCTGTCTTTAGAACCCACATCTTCCAAATCCTAAGTTAAGATTTTTTCACCTTCCCTTCACCCCTTCTTGTCAGGTCAAACTGGGACCTGCTAAAGTTGATGCCTGCAGCAAAGTTCAGAATTGACACTAGCCCTGAAGGTGTCCTCAGCACTCTATTTTGAGCCCAGGCCTGAGTGGAGAGAGAAGTTACTGGGCACCCTTTAAATCCACTTGCCCCCCAGGACCAAGGCGTTCCTTCCCGCCCCCCAAAGGAGGCTGCTCTGTGGACCAGTTCCTCCCTGAGCTCAGCCCCCACCCTAGGCCCCAGCACCTCACTGCAGCTCAGCCAGGCCAGGCTCGGGAGAGCCCGCAGAGACCTGGATGCGCCTGGGACTGGTGTCTTGTTTTTCCCATTATGAGACATTTTCCCTCTGGTTTGGCCAGGACCAAAGCCCTAACCAATTCCCAAATAGTTTGGCGAGCCTTGTGGGGAGGACGCACGGAGGAGGAGTGGGAAGGGAAAATTCATTAGGTTTTCCACCCTGGGAACTGGGCACAGTCTGTTCCCACATCTGGGCCCGGCTGGGGCTGTGTGTGTGTGTGTGGTGTATGGTGTCTGCGTGTGTGTGTGGTGTGTGGTATCTGCGTGTGTGTGTGTGTGTGCGTGTGTGTGTGGGTGTGTGTGTGTGCGCGTGGTGTGAGGGGCCAGCCCCGCTGCACAGCTGCCTGCTGGCATTGCAATGTTTGCCCGTCTGTGCGCGGGGCGGGTGGGTCTCAGCGGCAGAAACATTTGCTGGGACTGGGGGAGGCTCAGAGCCTCTGTGACGTGTGTGGTGATACTGGGCCTGCCTGGACTCCAGCCGCAGATGGCAGCTCCTGCTGTCACTCAGGGGAAGGATCTATAGAGCATCTGGCCTGTTATGTAAGAGAAGCAGGGGAAGATCCAAAGGAAGGCAAGTTGGGGTCCCATGAGGCAGACCCTTCTGGAAGGATATGGAAGGATAGCCCTTGGGCTCCATCTGCGATTACTCTGCTCCTGCCACAGCACAGCAGGCAGAACCTTAGGTCATAGTTAGCAACTGCCGCTGGGGCTCCAGGCCCTCCTGCCCTTTCTCCGACTGCCCCAGCCACTGTGACTCTTCCTCTGGGCTCCTTATCGACTGATGATGGGTAAATAGCAGAGTGGTTAAGATCATGGGTTCTGAAGGTGGACTGCCCAGATTCGAATCCCAGCCCTACCACGTGCTAGCTGTGTGACCTTGGGCAAGTTACTTAACCTCTGTATTTCGGTTTCTTCATCCCTACAGTGGGGATGATGACAGCAGTACCTACTGCAAAGGATTGTGATGAGTACAAATTATAGGGAAAGTTCTTAGAACAGTAATATCATTATCTGCAAGGCAAGGGAGTTGGAGTTGATATCTGTGGGTGCTTGTGGCTCTGGCACTTTAACATCAGTTCAGGGGGTGTCCCAGAAGCTGGGAACCTGTTACAGTAATATACTGGGACATAGCTGGGGCATTGGTCCCTTGGCTTAGTCCCATCCACCGGGAGGTCTCTCCCTTTAGGAGGGGAGGCTTCCTCTTCCAGGACCACCTTCCAGGAGTCCTTCCGGGAGTTCCTATAGCTAAGGCCAAGGGTGCTGGAGCTCCAAGTGGCTGCTGGGGAATGAGTTCTTTCTTTTCCTCCTCTCCCCTCCATCTCAGGGTTGCTGAGAAGGAGCCCGTCAACAAAATGTCACTTCACAACCTGGCTACCGTATTTGGCCCCACGTTACTAAGACCCTCAGAAGTGGAGAGCAAAGCACACCTCACGTCAGCTGCAGACATCTGGTCCCATGATGTCATGGCACAGGTACCACCAGCACTGCCCAGGCCATGGCTGGCGGAGGGGTGAGACAAGCCCCCCCAGGGGTAGAGAGAGCAGTTCAGCGTCCCCACACTTCTCTCCTCCTGGGCAGCTGGGTTGATAGTCTGTAGGATGTCACCCGAGAGGCAGGGCTGTGGACAGTCTTGCCCCTCCCAGGCCAAAACAAAGTATTTGAGCCTAGACAGGGGCCCAGAGAATTCCTGGAAGTGCCTCAATCTCAGAAAGCTTGTCCTCATGTGTGGGAGCTCTTGGGTTGCTTCTGGTATCAGGAGGCTTCCCTGGGATACTGGCAAGACCCAGGGAAGGGGCCAGTCTGAGGCAGGGCTGCCAAACCAAAGCCGACTTCAGGATCAGGTTGGAAGCTTATGACTTAAGCCGGGGAAGTGGCCCCAGGCTCCCCCACCCTCTGCCCTGCAGTGCCCTCTACTGCTGCAAATGGGCAGACACATCTGGGCTTCCAAGAAAGGGGAGGTGGCCAGAGCCAGCCTGGGGAGTGTGAGGGGGCAACCCAGACTTGACCCCAGCCCAGGGACCATTTCTTCTCAGCAGGTCAGATGAGGAGGGCCAGAAGGACAAGGACCCCAGACTCAATCTCCCCTCTCTCCCCACAGGTCCAGGTCCTCCTCTACTACCTGCAGCACCCCCCCATTTCCTTCGCAGAACTGAAGCGGAACACACTGTACTTCTCCACTGATGTGTAGCCCGAGGCGGGGGCGGCTGTGGGGGGTGGCCAGGGCCAGCCTCTCCAGCTGGGGGCCCAACTGACTTGAAAGACTGCAATAGAAAACTCCCAAACTCAGCACTCCAGACTCCAAGGGAAGCCAACTTCCAAGAACTGGAATATGTGCATCTTTTGTGCCACCTTGTACAAAGCCAGCTGACCAGCCCCCAGCCTCACCTCCGCACCCTGGGCTCCCGCCCTCCGTACCTCTAGTTGTGTCTAATGCTCCATGCTGTTCGGGATTTGTTTTATATATATTTGTTCTGCAGAAAAGGTAGTGACCGACCTGGTATGGGCACACTGACAGCCTGCTTTGTTCTCTCATTTCCTCCAACACTTTCTTTCCTCCAGAGTCCAGTCCAAGGGCTTTTATTTTGCGCGGTGTAACTGCTGCCAGCTTCTCCTCTCTTGGCCCTGTTCCCAGACTGCTGTCTCCTGGCAGCCCCCCCTCGTTTTTCCTCTGCGCTCTTCCTTCCAGCCTGCCTACATGCATGTGCAGCCTTGGTTTTCGCTCCATCACCTTGAAAGTCCTGAAGAGGCCTGGGTGGCAGCAGCAGTGGGCCTGTCTGATGCTGCCGTTTGCTGCCACCAGCCCTCTTCTTCCTCTCCGCCTGTGGAAGCACACCCGCTCTTCCTTGCTGCCTGTGCAAATGTTGGACAAGGAGACAGACTCGCACTAATCCTCAGCTTAGCACAGAGTTGGAGAGCTGATTTCTGGAATTTTCCGTTTGAGAATCTCCATTTTTGGGGTTTATCTATTCTATCTCCTGCCTACCAGTGAGGCATCTTTGACTGTTTCTTCTACTGCTTTTCAGTTCCTTTTCCCCTGGTGTTGCTTCCTTTGAGTGTACAGACTCACAAAAAGTGACCTGCTATCAAGATAGCCAGAAGGTCAGGAAGGAATCTGGGGGTGTGGGAGAGTCAGGCTGCTGAGGAAACAAGACAGGTTGATCCGTCAGACGAGTGCCATGCAGCACTGGGTGTCCTGTGTTGTGGGGGGAAGCAGCTTTGAGAAGCAAGGAGTTGTAGTGGCTTTTCTAACGGAGCTGAACTTCCTGGAGGGCAACTCAGATGGCTGAAGCAGGTGTCCAGAAACAGGTCCCCTCCAGGAGGCTGGCATCTCACGTACCTCGTGGTACCTTTGCCTTAGATTTTACACACATTTTCCACAGCTGAGCACTGCCACGGGGCAGCCCCACTGCCACGTGTGCTCCAGGGCCTGGAAAAGGAAGGTGCACAGCCCAGCGGTAGCCAGCCATCATGGTGCTGCCCCCTACCCCGTCCCGGCTTCTAGATGCAGCCTTTTCGGTGAACTCTGGGAAACACCAGAAGTTGGGGGAGGATGAGGGATCACAGGCACCTGCCTCTCTTGGAACTGGGGTTTACTGGGGGCCCTCCTTGTTGTCACTCTATTCCAGAGTAGGGGATCAGCAGGTTCCCTCCCCAACTTTGAGACCCATTGCTCAGGACTAGAAAGGAGTGAGATATATTCCCAAAGCGCAGTTCCCACCTGAGCAGCGGCTGTTGGTCAGCGGCAGTTAGCCTGGGAGGGCAGACACTCCTAGCTACAGGGGCTTGAGCTACAGCACAGCTCCCTGGATCTTCTGGCAGAGAGTAGATTCTGGGCCATCAGGATTGGGGAAAACAGCTCCCATTGTGTATGCTCAGGGCTGAGTCTTAAAGAAGGGTTTGCTGGCCCTAAAGCTGTTGTGCTTGCTCAGGCAGGGCCCTTTCTCATCCTGTTTATATTTGTTGCCTTCAGCAGAACGGTACACATTCTGTGCATGTTGGAGGAAAGAAATGCCTAAAAGGAAAGAAATTCTGACTACCCAGCTGCCTAATAGCAGCTTAGCAAGAAGCCCCACTCCCTGGGACAGGAGGTGGGGAAAGGATGCCACTTGAGCCTAAAGATCGCAGCACCTGAACATTCCTGAAGTATCTGCTTGGCACTCAGGTGGTGTGTGGCATGGACAGTTCTTGCTTGCTTCCAAAGGGATTGACAGGAATGAGTTAGGGCCTAACTACAGAAAGTTACAGCCAAAAATGGGTGCTTCTGACTTCCCCAAAGCAAGGAATGTTGCTTCTCAGCATCAGGTAGCTACTGCACCCCCAAGCTTGCTTAGGCAGGATAGGAGGAAGGCTGCAAAGGCCGAGATATGCAAAAGGTTCATAATATTTATAATTCTACCCCCAGAGTGGGGAGGGGAGGGTGCCAGACCTGGACTAAGCTGCCACAAGGAAAATACCTGGTGGGTTCTCCTGAGAGACAGGGACTATGCAGCCCAGAACCCCATCACTGTGCCCAGCAGGGTGGGCTGTGCCAACATGAGCCCAAGAGACAGGCTACAGAAATCCCAGGTATGCCTGTCCCTGCTGGGCAATGGCTGAGGGTTGCCAGTTTTTGCTGATACAGGTAAGATGGGACCCTTCATTAATATTTGACTTTAATAAGTTGGTAAGGATATATCTTTTTTTTAATCTGTTCTGTTTCAACTTATGTAGATTATTATAAATTGATGTAAACCATGTGAGAGAAAAATGTTAATAAAAAAAAAATGCGAAGCCCCAACATTTGCACAAACTCAGCCCTGTGGTGTGGATGTTTGTGTTCTCAGTAGTCCAGGGAAGACCACAAATCTAAATATTTAACTCTTCCAGCTGCATCCAGATGTGAGTTTCCAGGAATCTATTTACCTAGTTAACTCCCCTTGAGCCTTCCCTTTGGCCTGTGGGGACTGGGGCAGAGTTTGCAGGGGAGGTGAGTTCATGTTCTCTCCTTCCTCTTCAAGGCCTCCAGGTCAACTACCAGCCAGGCTGCTTCTGGTCTCATCTGCATTTCCTGCTACAGTTCCTTGCACAAATGTACAAATGTCCCACCAGGGACCGGGTCATCAATATGCCTCGGAGAGATAGTAGGAAGTGTCCATTGGAAAGGAAGCTTTTTATTTTACATAAACTTTTCTCTGCATTTTCTTGGAAGCAGCATGTCTTTGGGGCAGCGCTTTGCTCTAGTCTTGTTGGAGAAGCTGGATCCCCGGAGGCCAGAGGCTCCTTTTGAGAGAGCTAATGGGGTTACTATAGGCTCCTACCAGCCTAAGCCAGTGGACACTGAGTTTATTCTGAAGATCAAGAACAGATGTCTCTGAAAATTGCTGTTTGGTTTATGAGCTCATACTGGTTCTCTCGCCATCTCAAACAGGAAACTATTCATCTCCTCTCTTCATTGAATAGTCAGTGTGGACAATGCTTGGCTTACTGAACTAAGGGCTACTGAGAGCTCAGGGCTCATCTTTTCCAAGGTAGTATTTCCTGCATTTGCTCCCACATGCTAGACCAGCTAGAAGAAGATCCCAGGCATCCCAGTACTTTGACAGGTACAAATAGGAATGTCTGACTGCCCTTGCTTCAAAGTGCTTATAGGTGGGATATATACAGTGACAGTAGAGAAAACACTCCTAAATTTATTCTCAGAGCTCTGGGGAATGCTCCAACTGGCCCAGAAGCAATGGCTGGATGGACATTACATAGAATTCGCTACAGAAGGACATGATCCCTTGCGCTAGCGCACATTCATTCCAAGGAAACAGAAGACATGGTCAGAGGAAGGTGTTACCAGCTGGCTCTGACATCATCACTCACAGACAAATGTACACTCAGGATGATACCTGGCATTTAAACTGAGTCTGAATTCTGGTTAGAGGAGGGTGGGCTAGAAGACAGCAGATGAAGAAGAGAGCAAAAAAAAGGTGGAGGAGTTACTGTACAGTAGAAAAAAGAAGACCCAGGAATTACACTGCCCCCCCCCCCAGCCTACCTGCCCGCCCCTGCTCCCCAGGGGCAAAAGCCCAAGATCATCAACCATCTCTCCAGCAAAGCACCCAAGCAGAGTGCACCAGTGGTGGAGCCCAATTGTGAAAGGCTATTTTTTTTGCCTGTGGCACACAATGAGGCCAAGCTGCTGTTGTCAGAAAAAGACCACAAGGTCAAGTCAAAAACATGTAACATTTCAAAATAAAACCAAAAACCCATTGATACAAGAGAACAAGGGTAGGCATGAATAGCCCCTCAGTAACTTCTGATCTTAGCCAGTAGCTGCTGAGACTGACTCACCAGGATGACCTTAGCAGGATCCTTCCCACACGTGTCCTTGAGCTGGTCCTGATCCAGTAGTCAGATCACAAAACCAATGTGTGGTTTGGCAAACTGAAGACATGCCTATCAGCCAGCCCACTGGAGGGTTTTTTAAAGAAGGCCAATATGGCTTACACATGGAATTTCAATGCATCCTAGGAAGGGAATAGGCTGGGCTTTTGGGACAGGTCTTGGCTGATGTAATAATCTTGGTGAGGATGACACAGTCCTCTACAAACCCTGAGAATCTAACATTCCCAGACCTCTCAGGAACATTCTCCCTCTTCCTTTGGATGTCCAATCATTGGGTCACCTGGCACCATTTTGGGGAATTGAGGAATTTGAAAATAAAAATAAACCAATCTTTTAAACTGTAATATAAATATATATATTTTAACAAGGATGGCAGAACACTAAACAAACAAACTGACATAACTGGTTGGATAGCATAAATTTACCTTGCCCTGCCCTGGTATGTGAGATGGACAGTTGCATGGAGTTCAAAGCAGAACAGCTGCCTGGGAATGTATAAAGATGCTGCCACCTCTGCACCCACAGCACCAAACAACCTCTAGGGCAAGACATGGTCAGGAATGAACCTTTGTGTAGCTGAATTCCTGCAAGTCAACACATTGTCCTCTGATCTGCTCTAAGGAAAGAATCTGGCATGGCACATCTCCTGTGAAGCCTGGCTGGAGTCCAGCAGCAGCAGAGAGTGTGGCTGCTCCAAAGGCTGGATGCAGACAGCAGCCAACTGTCAACTCACAACACCAACTAAATGAGGGGAAACAAATGTCTTCAGTCCCTGAAGCAACTGCCCTGGAGCAGTGCAGAAACTGTCCTCTAAAGAGCAGCTCTGATCCTTGGCTGGCGATGTCCTTCCTCACAGGATATTACTCTCACCGTAGGTAATAATCAATTGCAGCAGAGAAAGCGGCAAAACCTCCACAACCAATTGCTCCAGCCTTCAAGCCAGCTGTAAAGCAAACAGAAATAACATTACCTGTGGTGACAGATGCTGGGTCAGGATGCATTCACGAAAAGTTTGCACACCCACAAATGTAAAACCAGCTTAAGCGTTCTAAGTCATTCAACCTATCACAGCTCTGTAAGACTTCAATGAAGTGATGTATATGGTCTAATCCAATGTGGTTTATCTAACTGTACATTTGTTTAGCTTTTCTCATTCAAAGAATTAATATTTCCAATCTTGAGGAAATAGTCCCTCACAGGCAGGAAACTGGTTAAGAGAACCAGCCCTTGGAATCAAATGAAAGCATATGGCCTTTTACCGTGATTTGTTTATGGAATAAATTCCTGGGAAGGTGATCAAAGCAGTCCTAGAGGGAGCCGACTTCCCCAAGAGGCCCTGACAAGGCTGAGCAATGCAAAGACCAAAAAAGAAGTTACTCTATCAATTACAAATGGCTGTTTGAAGAGCAAAAGCAGGCTTTCATGACGGCAAATCATCTTGACTCTCAGAAGATGAGAAAACTGGCTTTTTGCTCTGGTTAAGTCAGGGCGTGACAGATGGAGAATGGCCCAGCAGTAGATACTGCTTTTAGGAAAGCCAAGTCACAGAGGCCCTACACTGCACACTTTCGATGGACATGCCAACAGGGAGAAATGGCAGGGAATAGGTTTGTTACTTTGTTGTTTACGGCTGAAAATCTAACATTTCTATGGTATCTGTACTTAGCATTCAATGGGAAGAAATCTAAGAATTTCCAACTGCAAAAAGATATTACCATTATAATTTATATATAAAATTAAAACTGCCAATTGTATAGAATTATTAAGTTTGACATAGCCTGCCACATGGACAAGTGGGCTACCCAGGGCTGAATGGACCTAGCTATGCTTCTGTACTATCCTACATACCAACACATTCCAGGGATTACTCTGTGAGAAGGCTTTTTGATATATTAAATATGGGGACAGGTCTTTTTTCTAAGATAGATCTAGATCAGTGGTTCTTACCTGCGGGTGATTTGCCCCCCAGGGGACTTTTGGCAACATATGGAGACACTTTTAGTTATCACAACTGAAGGGCTGCTACTAGCATTTGGTGGATGCAGGACAGGGATGCTGTTAAACACCTTACAATGCCCTGGAGAGACCCAACTCCAGAAAAGATTTATCTGGTCCAAAATGCCAGTAGTGCCAAGGATGAGAAACTCATCTAGATACTAGCAAGTTTCCAAAACTGAGTTAACAGAAGCAAACATGATTTATTTGTCAGAAGGGAAGAATATCAGATGTCCCTGGAACATTCATATGTTTGGAAATGTCAACTTCAGCACGTTGTCTAAGGCCACAAGGAAAACCATTCGAGAGTTGTTTACTAACCTCTGAAACCAATGGCTCCTCCAGTGATGCAGCCACTAATGACACTGTTCTTCCAATCTGATTTTCCCCGGTACTGTGGGTGGAGAAATGCAGTTTAGAGCCAAAGAAACAAGCCAAACAAGACAATTAAGGAAAAAAAACACAAGGTTTCTAGCTGGCTAATTTAGTCCCTCCCCAAAGACAACCTAATCTTTTTGAAAGTATAGTCCCTAAAATTTGAATGTGTTCATAGATGCTTCCTGCAGGGGGCACCAGAGCGCTGAAACCAAGTCCAGAATTTGAGAAGTAATCAAAATTTCTTCCAGGGTTCTGCAGTAAGTCTCATTAACTTCTGTGCTGGCCAGTTAGCTCAGTTGGTTACAGCATGGTGATAATACCAATGTCCAGGGTTTGGTCCCAATGCTGGCCAGCCGTCAAAATAAGAAAAAAAGATCTCATTATCTTCTATAAAAGGTAAAAAAAAAAAAAAAATGCAAGCACACATCATAAACATACAAAGTTTACATTAGGGACTATTTTATGGAACTTCAATCTAGAACATATCTGTTTCTGATCTGCTTTATAATAACATCAAGAGCATTTCTCTTTAACAGTCGTGAGATGGCAGCAGGCAAGGATTTCTAAGAAGGCAGAAACACTTACAGATTCTACCAAACACTCAGTACAAGAAAACATGGCGCCCACAATGGCAAAATTTTTAGCATAGGACATTCCTCTCTGCCCCATGTCTTTAAGAACTTCTTTTGCAGTCGGCGTACGGTAAGGATCCTTAGGGTCAAAGCCTACGTTGGTATCGATGCCAGCAGTAAACACCCCAAATGCACCTCCCAAGACAAATCCTAGAAATAAACAGATGAAGATTTTTTTTGGTATGTTTTCTGGATTACTGCATTGGGATTATACTAAAAGACAAGCTTTTGAGTGGCCACCAGTGCAGAGGTCACCTCCCTCTTGCCATCAAACTCTCCACTTGCCTGGTTTCCACATTATACGATCTGGGGTCTATCGTTATTTCTTTTTGGGGGAGGGGGCAGCTGGTGGTGCGTGGATCTGAACCCTTGACCTTGGTGTCATCAGCATCACACTCTAACTGAGCCAGCTAATC